AAGCGGCACACACAGATACATCTGCAGCAAACCATGTATCCCCATGGCTCCGAGGAACACTACACATGACAAGGAGCCTCAGGGTTTCCTCCCTGATTTAACCATGAATCACTTCTTTTATATTAATTATGATTCATACTGAGCTCACACCTGTGTGCCAGAGACACTGGGCCACATGCTTTACACACTTGGGTCTCATTTCATCTTTATAGCAGTCTGTGGGATGGAGTTCTGTGCTCCAGTCACTTCCACATCTACTAAAGCCTTGAAGCCAGAATTCAAATCCCCATTACCTGACTCCTTAGACCAGGTTCTTAGCCATTATTTTATACAACCTCATTCAGCAAAACCTTTTCTACAGTACAAGCCTCCTCTTTCAGCTCTATAAGTCTTTCTTCCTTTTATTAATATTTCTCCCTCCCTCTCTTTCCTAGTTCTCTTCCCACAAAAAAAAAAAAAAAAAAAAAAAAGGACTAAGTCCCAGATACATCCCCGAATGCCAGATCTGGTCATTTTCCCCAACCTAAGTAGAAATTTTTTATTATTATTATTGCTATTACTATCAGTATTTCTTAGAATTAAGCTGCACCTTTGACTACCAGGAGTAGCCTGCATGCTTAATCTTCAAACCAGGAGCAGCTCAGAAGCCAGACCAGAATAGCATACTGGTTACAAGCACATACCGTGGCAGCAGGTACCAGAGTTTGAGTTTCTGCTGTGCTGCTCTAACCATGGGACCCCTCTCTGCCTCAGTTTTTTCATCTGTAAATGGGGGATTTAATAGTCCCAAGATCACAGGTTTGATGTGAGCAGATATGTGAGCATTTAGAACTGCATTTTTGCACAAAGGAAATGCTCTGTCAACGTTAGTTTTCATGACTCCTCTAAAATCTGCCTTTCTCCATCCTGAAGGACCTATAAGTTTCCAAGAACCCTTAATCCTACAGGAATCTCTTTTGAAGACTAGTAGTAGGAAACCTGTTTTCCCTAGAGACCGCTCTCCTGCCGCTCTTTCCAATTTTGTTCATCTTGCTGGTGACAGTACCAGGCTCCTAATGAGCGTTAAAAAGGTTTCTCCAGCTGGTGAGGCTGCATAATTCAAGCCAGCCTACCTCCCACCTCCAGCTCCCAAGTTCGGAGGCTAAATCGGTAGGTGGGGGGTACATGGCTAAGAGAGTCTGTAGATGTTTAATGGCCTGGTGTGGCCTTGGTTCACCAGTTTCTGTTTGCCTGGGTCACCCCATTAGCTGCTGCCTCCTTAAAAAGTCAGAATTTTATAGGCTTAACAATCTATTTGAATGAAAAAGCTTGAAACACAGGGTTGGCCCTAGGACCAAGCTAATTAATAGCCCTTCTCAAACTGGGGTTTTGGAAGGTAGGCTGAGCCTTTGAAAAGCAATCATCTTTTGAGGGTACTACAAGTGATTGCAACAAAACTGGGGATGGGAGGAAGAACCTGGAAGGAAATAGCGAACCCAAGAGGAAACTGTCATTTCTGGAGGCAAATTGCCTTGGTAGAGAGGAAAAAAAAAGAATGTTCTTCATGCAAGTAAGGCCCACTGAGGCTTCCTCAAGTCAAATGATTCAGTCATATCATTCTCAAACCTAATGATTTTTCACGTCTAATTCAAGGAGAAATTAGTTATTACATATTAAGACAAAAGCAGGCGGACTCCTATCTTGACAAGGAATCCTTCCCACTGAAGTGGAATTATCTCCAGAATAATTAAATTGCTTGCTGAAGTATAAAAGTATTCCATTAGCCGGAGTTGCCTTCGTTGAACAGTGCCTTCCTCATCGCCAAACAAATCATGGTGACTCTGAACAAGGACAGGGAGATACCAGGACCTAAATAGATAATGTGATCAAACTGAAATCATCATCAGTGTCATTTCTGAGCCAAAGAGCAAAGTTGCTAATCAGCAAATGCTGGAGGTATCAGCCCGGCAGCAGTTTTACTTATGATCAAGCGTGACTGTGGTGCTTTATTCTTCAGGAATCCTAGACTCTGAAGATTCTGCACCCTAACGAAAAAAAATGAAGACCACAGTGAAAGCATGGCAGAGGATCATTTTCCTGGAATGTCCCCAACCTGCCTATTTGACATTGGCAATGTTTCCAGAATTTAGATATCTTTATTCCAAAAGAGCACTGTGATGCAGAAATAGCGTTATTACTTGCCAAAACATATAAACCACCAGGACATTCAAATGTATTCATTACAAGGAGGCACTGTTATAACCTGATGTGATCCATACTGTTCTCACTACATTGTGAAACTTATTGTTCTGTGGCATGACCAACAGGTCTCTTGCCATGGGTACACTACACCATCACAGCATGCCACACACTATAGCAAATCAGCTTTCACTCATTAGTAGTGATTTATGAGGATAGAGTTTTAACATCCAAGGGGCTTCTGTACATGAAGATAAATGCTTACCTCACTGTCCTCTGTTTAAGCCCAATGAATTCATCTATATTTGTTGATCAATCCACATATTTCAATAATTCACAGTCAGGATTCCTCTAAATATTTGTACCATAGTTTAAACATAATGTGGATTTAACACAGGAAAATTTCCCAACATTTACATGTAGGTGTTATAAAGGTAAACACTTCTAAACATTTATTTGTAGTGATATTTCTAAAAATTCAGATGATGGTAAATGTTTTAAACCCTGTAAAAACAGACAAAACACACACATAAAGGCCAGTACACTTAAAATCAAGGAGGGCATAAGTGTATTAATACCATGGACTTAAAGTTGTTTTCTTATTATCTTTATTCTTATTCATACCCTTTTAAAAGTGTTATTTTTATTTGTGCATTGATTTAATCAGAGAGTTGCCTCCTAAGGTTTCAAGAATTTTACAAGGAACCACCACAGAACAGCCAAGGCCACCAGCTCTGGTTATCATCTAGTTATGACATAGAATTTGGTTGCTCAGGCTTTGCCAGTTCCAAGCTTTTGGTCATCTGACTCAGTCCATTTGTATAACTAAGTTCTTTGTGTTATGTCAAAGAATGCTTAGATGCCTGTCTTCTATGTAGATTTTCATTCTTGAGATTTGATACCATTCCTAGAAATGATAAATTCTAAGTTTTGTATATCTGCCAGTTCTTGACTTATTGAGCTTGTCTGTTAACATTAAAAACTTATGCATCCCCTATTATTATTTTATTCTAATTAGTTCGGCCGTTTAGAGATTTCATCTTCTAGGAGATGAGATTGAGCCTGTATAATTAGCTCTCTTCTTTAGGACAGCTGGCTAATTCTTCACCTTGGAATGCAGTGTGAGAGACTCCCTGCCCACCTGTTTATTTTGCATGCCACCACGGCACTGATCAGTTTTTCCTAGACGTGGTGTAGTACCTGCTTCCTCTGGGACTCTGTGTTTTATCTGTTCTATTTGCATAGGTGGAAACAAGTAAACTGCATGTCAGATATTCCACACTTTATGATCGCAGCAGCACAGACTTCCCCTAACTAGTTTCTGGGATACCACCTCTATAATTTTTGCCTTATTTGCATTCCACCTGAACCATTATGCACCTAAGACTTCTCTTTAAATAACTTTAAATCTACTTACTTTTTGTAACCTAGCAGTGTCTTAAGCCATAACAGCCATGAAAGCACACATTAGATGTATCAGCTGTATTTCAGCTTTGTTGTAAGGACACATTAAATCATGGCACAAATATTGAAATGACAGGGTTGTCCTGGTGCCCCAAAGCTCTCTTGCACACTGCCAGAATACATCATACCATAATTTAGGAGGCTTGGCTGAAGACCACGTGCCAACGATTCTGATTGCTGCGAATATCCAAATAATGTGCTTGTTTTCAAAGGATTTTTAAAAAACGAATCTCCTATTTTAAAAGCACCAATATAAGGGGAAGTCTTAGTGGCGTAAGAAACCACATGCTTTAAGAAAAATAAAGAAAGAAAGAATGAAATACAAGACCTCAACAATTCCTGCTTTCCGGCTCTGTCATTAAAGTGGTGCATGAACCTCAGAGCACTTTTGCCCATCATCAGCTCTCATAGAAGCCCTGAGCACCTGGACTGAGTGGGAGGCTTCTTCTAGGGTAGACCAGGTGATGCGAATAGACCCCCTAGGGAGAAGGGAACACATTCAGCAAAGATCTACAGGAAGAGCATTCTTATACAGGGAAAACCCCCAAGGACAAAGACCTGGGTGGGGTGGACCTGGGTGCAGGCGAGAAATAGCAAGAGCCACTGGGGCTGGACTGGAGGGTGGGAAGAGGAAGGGCTAGGGGGTGTGATCAGATCACTGAGGGGCAGACCTCAGGCCATGGCACAGCATATGGATTTTGACCATTCCAGGGTTTGAGAAGGAAACTGATTTGAGCTGATCTCACTGACTGCTACCCAGGGAATGATTATATTGGATCAAGAGTGAAAACTAAGACCCCAGTTGGGTGGCTCTGGTGGTCTTCAACTGAGAGCTGATGAAAACTTTTGCCAGAGAGGTAGCCATGAAGATGGCAAGAAAGGGTTTGATTAGGCATGTACACATTTTGGAAACCACAAGAATTTCATATCTTTCTTGAAACTGTTAAGTATATTTTCTTAACACACACATATATATAGATCCATCAACAGGTATATTGACATATACTTAAATATATTGATATTTGTAATTTATTTTATACACACACACACCTTCTGAGATTGCTTTAAAAATGTTTTAGTGTGTCTAGTGAGCTGTAAGAAAAGTCCTGGTATAGTCTCTCCTGTTTTAGTAGATAGTAATTGGCATCATGTCAGTGTATGCTTTGAAGCCAGAGATTTCACAATCATGGATGACTTATGGGGTGTAGATTTTGGCCTGAGCAACTGGGTGCCTCTGGATGCTGTTTGCTGAAATGGACAAGAGCAGGCCAAGAAGGGGCCTCAGGAGCAGGAGGCTATAAGATGGGAGCACAGGGTGTGACCTTGACCCTGAATGTCTGCCTTCTCTCTCCCTGCAGTGATCCCAAAGGTCACCAAGCACCTGCTCTCAAACCCTGTGTTCACCTGCATCATCCTGGCCGCCTGCATGGAGATTGCAGTGGTGGCTGGCTTCGCTGCCTTCTTAGGGAAGTACCTGGAGCAGCAGTTTAACCTCACCACTTCTTCTGCCAACCAGCTGCTTGGTGAGTGTGTCTTCAGGCCCCCTGAGAGGGTCGGGGGAGGGTGTCCTGTGTTTACGGCACTAAGAATTTACTGAGCCCTGCTGAAGAACCCCACTCTGCTCTGGGCCTACAGCAACAAGATATATGTGGCCTCTGTGCACAAGGAATTTAAAGTGTATTCTCAGAGCAAGATTTGCCTGCCTGGAGCAATTGCTAAAAGCACATGATAATAAAGAGTGAAAATATAAAATGTACATTTGAGAGGCCAGTAAGTTGATAGATGGGTGTGAAATGGGAAATTTAGGGAAGATATGATGAAGAAGGATAAATCTGGAAAGGTTAGCAGGTTTTAGCCACATAAAGAAAGAATATTCTTGGCAGCATGAAACCCATAGTTAACACATGCAGAGCTTGGAAGCCATACACTCCCCTACTCTTCCCTGTGCCCACAGCAGACATAACTAATGGATCATGACACTCCTTCTCCCCAAGGTCAGGCATGGCTTTACAGTTCTTTAAATCGTAGACTACAGGTTTCTACTGCCAATTGTTCAGAGTTGACATACTAAAGAAAACCAATTTGCACTCATGAGAAGCAGTGTTGCTTAGGCAGGGTAAGGAATGTGGTCCTGCAGCATGTCTTAGTTTGCTTTTTGTTTTGCGACAGTATATCATCCTTTACTTCAAATGACAGGAAGCTGCATTTGTTGAGTTAATCAGCTGAGATGTTGATCAGTAGTGGACACAACAGCAACAGAAACATAGCAGTTAAACAAGAGGGAAGAATCAACAATGACTCTCAGGTTTCTGGCTTGGAGAGCTTGTGGTACCAATTGTAAAGACTGGAAATAACGAAGAAGAATCAGATCTGTGCAAAGGTTCTAGTTCAGACCTGAAGCTGTTGAGTGTGAGGTGCCCATAGCATATCTAAGTGATGTATTTAGCCGGGGGCTCAAGAGGGGTCTCTGGGATGATAATCTGTGTTATAGGTAGTAGTGGAGATTCAGTTGCCTTAGTAAATGGATGGTAGTTGAGGACATTGGAGTGGAATTTACATAGGAAAAAATGTGTAGAGTTAGAAAAAGATAGGTGAAACCCCAACCTGAAGAAATAGAGGAGTCTGCAGAGAAATTTAAGCAACAGCATCCAAAAGAAATGCAGAGAATGTGGATCATGGAAGTCAAGGGTGAGATGATTCCAAGAAGAGAGCAGCCATCTGCAATGTGAGCAGTCAAGCAAGGTGAGGGCCCAAATGTCCCAGTTGGCTTTAATGATGAGGATGGCTTGCAGCCTGTATCAGGGCTGTGTTCCTGAAGTGGCAATGGTGGCACCTGTTCTGTGGTGTGGAGAGCAGCCCAGAGAGGGAAGGAGTAGACAGTGAGCACGGGACTTAGCCAGGGGAGAAAGGAGAGAGGACATGGCCTGTGGCATGTGTTGGAGTTGAGGGAGGGAGTGATGACTATGTGGTTGCTGGGACAGGAAAGACTTGAGCAGCTTTCTCAGTGGAGGGAAAGGAGCCCACAGCTGGGGATTTGCAGGAGAGAGAGTGAATATTCTTACTTTATGTGACTGATTAAAACCTGCTAACCTTTCAAGATTTATCCTTCTTCATCATAGAAGACTTTGCACGGAACTCCCTTTACAGAGGAGTTCACCTGTTCTCCTGAAAGAGCAGAGGGAGGGACATGTGATGGAAACTACTGAGAGTGTGGTGATACGGCCAGGCATGGGGGCAGCTACAGCTCCACAGACTTCATCTTCTCTGTAAAATAGGAGTCAGATTGTCTGCTGACAGGAAAGGGAAGGTGATGTTTTCTGATCTTCCCCTTTAAAATCTCCTGTCATGTCACAAGATGGCCAAGAAACAAACACAAAGGTGGTAACCATCATGAGTCATCAGAGAAATGTACATTGGAACCACAGTGAGATGCTGCTAAACATCCACCAGACTGATAGCACCAAGTATTGGGGAGGATGTGGAGCCACTGGAACTCTCATACTCGGCCAGTGGGAATGCAAATTGGTGCCACCACTTTGGAAAACTCTTTGGCTGTGCCTAACAAAGCTAACCATATGTCTCTGCCGTGACCTATCAGTTCCATTTCTGGTCATCTATCCAACAGAAATAAGTGTTTGTGTTCACTCATTTACGTAGCATATGTAATAATGTCCAGAGCTGTTTTATGCATAATAGACCCAAATTTGAAACAACCCAAATGTCCATAAACAGTAAAATGGATAAATTATAGAATATTCTATGGCAAACTATTACACAGAATGAGAAAGAAAGAACTTTGATACATGCCTCAATGTGGTTGAATCTCACAGAGTTGAAAGACATGAGACTCAAAAGAGCACATATTTAGATGAATTAAAAAGAGGAATAGTTAATTGAGGTGATAGGGGCCAGAATAGTGGTTACCCTTGGGGGAAGCTAAGTGGGAGGCGCACCAGGGAGCCTCCTGGGCTGCTAGAAATGTTCTAAGGTTAATCTAAGCTGTAGTTACAGGGGTGTGTACAGATGCAAAAGTTCATCAGCTTTTGGCTGTTCCCTTAAGCTCTGTGTATTTCACAGGACATAACATACCTCAGTTTAAAAGTAGGGTTGGCATGGTGGCTCACGCCTGTAATCCCAGCACTTTGGGAGGCTGAGGCGGGTGGATTACCTGAGGTCAAGAGTTCAAGACCAGCCTGACCAACATGGTGAAAACCTGTCTCTACTAAAAATACAAAAATTAGCCAGGCATGGTGGCACACACCTGTAATCTCAGCTACTCAGGAGGCTGAGGCAGTAGAGTCGCTTGAACCCGGGAGGTGGAAGTTGCAGTGAGCTGAGATCGCACCATTGCACTCCATCCTGGGGAACAAGAGCGAGACTTCGTCTTGAAAAATTAAATAAATAAAAAAATAAAATAAAATGTAAAACCCTATCACAACAACATGGCCAGATTACCACCTAGGGTACCACAAGTCTTATGTTTTTCTTTTACACAAATAACCCTCTACCACCCACCACTTGGTAAATTTTACCTCCAAGAGGTATTGGCAAAACGCAGTCATCCTTTAATATCTGCCTGACAGAGACAGGGCAAAATATACCTCTTTATAATTAAAGTTGTAACTTCTTTGTTATCCCTGGGATCTCTCAGGTTTAGCCCTTCGGCGCCTGAAGAGTTTATCTCTCACCTGCTGACTCCTCTGCTGCTTTTTCTTCCATTTTGATTACATTTGCACAGTTGCTTCAACTTTGGGCCATGTTCTGTTTCAGAACAGATGCCTCCATCTTCTATCGACAAACAAATCAATAGTCTTCAGGGCAGAAGGTCAAACAAACAATTCTGCCTTATTGCACCTTTTTGTCTCCCAGTGATTTCTGTCTGTTAGTGTGCTTGGCAGGAGGCACCTTCTCCTGCACTGGGCAGTCCAGGCAAGCAGCACGGGTGCCCTCTGTGTGTGCCATGCCCTTGGCGACAGTACAGTCAGTGTGGACTCTGGAGGCTGGCTGCAAGAGGGACTGGCAGTGGGCAGTTAGAGAAGGCAGACTTGGGAGATGAGGCCCAGGCAGTCATTCCAGAGCATCAGCACTGGTCCCCCTTCACCCCCTGCGAAGTCATCAGCAAATGGGGCGGAGCTCAGAGAAGAGTAACACAGGTGATTAAAGAGCTAGTGGTGTTGATTTGTGAGTGAAGATAAAAAGGACTCAATCTGCATAGGTTAACGTAATGAGAATGGAATTTCAGGGAAGTTCTGATCACTTCCTCGAGTGTTAAGGACAGCACACACATCAGGGAGGGAGGGGGCTTGGAGAAAAGGTGTGAAAGCCTGTGATTGCCATGGTTACCATCCTTGACAGGTGACACCCCCACTGTCTCTGCTAGGAAATGAAACAAAACACAGGCCTGCTTTCTGGGTGTGGGCATGTTGTCACTGATGTCCATTCACACAGATCCAACCTGTTCCTTAGCTCATTCATTCTGAAAATAATACTTGGATGCCCACTCCGTGCTGGGTACCATGCTAGACACAGAGAATCTAGGCTGGACTGAACAAGACAAAAAGGGTTTTTGTCCACAGGAAGGCTGTATCCTAGCAGAGAGAGAGAGAGCAAGAAACAAGAAACCCAAAAATAAGTGAGGCTGCTTCAGGAAGCTGGGAGAGCCACAAAAACAGTATGGAATCTCAGGGTGGGGGTGCATGGATCTCTACAGAGTGGCCTGGGAAACCTGTCTGAAGAGGCTAGGGGCCAGCCAAGTAAACACATTGGGCACGTGTCCCAGGAGAGGGAACTGCACGTGCAAAGCCTGGGGAACTGGAACTGTTTGGTCTGCCCCAGGGAGAGAAAGGAGGGACAGTGGCATGGTTGGGGTGGGCAGTGTGGCACGGGACAAGGATAAAGATGCACCTAGGAGCTGACTCAGGAGATCACTTCTATACCAAGGGAAGAAAACCAAGCACAGATATTCCAAGAGCAGTAGATGATAAAGAGATATTATATGTCATTTTAAGTATGACTTGTGCTATTTTCTTGCAGAGCTATACCCTCCTGATTATATTTTCTCACCCCAATATTAAAATTAATTTGCATTCCCTTAGCACATACCAGCTAGTTAATGTAGTCAATTGACCTAAAGGTCTGTTGATTGTCAAGAAGGCAGCCTAGACTGGAAAATTGGCCATGTGTAATCTACATGGTAGATAAATGACACGTGGCAATTGAAAGCTGAGTTTTAGATAAAATGAATCAGAATAGAGCAAAACCAACCCAGGAGCTTGGAACCCTTTGGTCCTTCTAAAATGCCATGGTTCTCTGCGAATCAGAAATAACAGGTTTATGGTCCTGCTGCCTTGCAGATAGCCCTGTGCAGAAGAGAGAGAAAGGAAAAAATATATATGCCATTTAGTCACCAAGAACTACAAAACATATTGATCGATGCCACTTCCAGCAGAGCTGGTTCAGACTCTCTCTATGGCCTGGTGAATTCCGTGACCTTTAGGTTAAACAGCCTCCGTATTTTCTGCGAAACCCTCCCTTCTTGCCTTATTAAGAAGACGGGGAGAAAATCCCTAAATGATCTCCAGTCCCCTTCCCACATCTCAAAAATGCACACAGAGCACATCGCTGCTCCATGATATCTACTGTCCCGAAGGCATGTCTGTGTTCCCAGTCTGTCTGACTCCGTCTCTTGGTAGTCCCCTCTTAAGCTTGTGTTTCTCCTGAGGGTGCCCCACTTAGCAGGACAGGTGCATGCACTTAGACTCATGAAACAGAGTTGCTTTATGTCTGTCTCTCCCAGTTCTCCATGAGCTCCCTGGGGGAATAAATCAGGCCCTTCCTAAAGACTTCAGGGTCCCATGGAAGCAGTGACACTGCAGTGGGGTCACTGGGCATTCACGGGACTCAGCCTCAGGCCTTCCACCCTCCCATCTGTGGACTGGCCCCTCCTTCCCTGTTCACAACCCTGCCCCTCTGTCTTCCAGGGATGACTGCAATCCCGTGTGCTTGTCTGGGTATCTTCCTGGGCGGTCTTTTGGTGAAGAAGCTCAGCCTGTCTGCCCTGGGGGCCATTCGGATGGCCATGCTCGTCAACCTGGTGTCCACCGCTTGCTATGTCTCCTTCCTCTTCCTGGGCTGCGACACTGGCCCTGTGGCTGGGGTTACTGTTCCCTATGGAAACAAGTGAGTACTGGCAGTGTCTGCCACCTTCCCGCCTGCTCAGGGACCCTAGCATTCTCCCTCCACAGTAGGTTGAGGGAGCCAGCTTTGTTCCTAGTGACCCGAGGAGAGGCATCAATGCTGCCTCTGCATCTTACTCTCCACGTTGGAGAATCAGTAGAACCCTCTGGGCTGAGAGAGCAGACCTTTCCACTCAAAGGCGGGGAAGCCCTGGGGGAGAAGAGAAACCATTTCCTCCCTAGCACACTCACATCACGATTTTTGGCATTTGACTTTAGGAAAACTGTGAAGACAGAAAATAAAAATTTTAGTTCAAGATTCAGCTCAAAATAGAAGAAAGAATTGATTTCAACAATTCCTTAAACTATCAGAAGCTGTCATTAGGCTCACATGGCAATTATAGGAGCTGGCCCATGGCAGGTATTTTTAAGTGTAGCAGGGGAAAGGGAGAGAAAAAGGGAGGTGGAGGGAAGAGAGGGAGGAAGATAAGGAAGTTAGTTCTCATGGGACCACTTTTCTTTCTTCCTAGTTTTTATCCCAAGACTTGGGACTAGAGTCCAGTGAGAATTGCCCTTAGAGGGAATTATGGGGAGTCTTCAGCTATCCAGTGTCAATAGCTGTCCCCTTTTCCACACGGGACTGAGGCTGCCTTGGAAATCCAGCCTGGAGCATCGAGGCTGCAGCATGGCTGGCCTGCAGGTTACTAGTTTCTCTCTCCAGAGCCAGACTCTTCCTCCAAGCAGGCCACCTAGCCTGCTCCTACACTTGTGCCAGAAGATGCAGTGGAGCCAGGGCTTCTCTGCCACCCACAAGAGTGAGCAGGCGGAGTGGGAGAGCAGAGCACAGGCAGCTTTCTGTATGTCTGTGCACAATCCAGGCACCATATGCCCCTCCTTCCCCTTTACACCACCACGGGATTGCCCCTTCCAATCCCCACCCCAGCCTGGCCCTCACTTCCTGTTCAGATATGGCTTCTTCCTGTTTGCACATGCTATGCATAACAGCTGTCTCAAGTAGCAGATTGCTCGACTCCCAAGTAGTAAAGTGTAGTGGTTAGGAGCACAAGGTCTCACTATAATGATGTTATTCTTCCATAAAAAAATAAAATAAAAGTGTATATCCTACAGTTAGATGGCCCTGGTTCCAATGCCTCCTCTACCATTTATGAGTTCTGTACTTTTGGACAAGTCACTTAACCTGGATGTGCCTCAGTTTCTTCTCTAAAGCCCATGGGGTTAAAATGAGAATAAATGAAATAATCCATGCATTACTTTGAATAGTGCATGACACATAAATTGCCAGGTGTCGCCATCATCATCTTTATCATGAAGTGCTCTGAACCTTAGGAGACAGAGCTGAAAATAATCAGACTAAAGAAGAAACATTTCCTGTCTTCCAGAGCTAATACACTCACTCTACCCTTTTGCTCTTTTTTCAATTTGCTTGCTCTAGATAACTGTGCCTTTAATGATGCAAAGGAAAAATTAAAACATCTTAGTGTTATTTTTCTCAGGACATTGAATCAATTAGACAATAATGATGGAAGCCAGTCTGGTTGTAGCAGTATAGCAAGTAAGCAGGGGAGGAATAAAGCAGAGACAAGAACCAGCCCAAAGAGGGAAGGAGTTAAATCTTCAGTGGTGTAGGCATAGGTGTTTGTTCAGGACGGGGGTAAGCCGAGGCCGTAGCAATCAGGAGAGGCATCATGGAGCAGGTAGCCCTGAGCAGAGTCCCAGCTGCCTCCAGCCCAGAGGACACATCAATACCAGTGATCAAAAGCATCTTCCTCCTCACTTCATGAGAGAGGCTGGAGTGGACTCAGCTCCCATCCAGCCCACCACCTAAGCTGGCGTCATTGGCCAGGGCACAACCCACATAGCTCTCAGCGGTGGCCCTGGGCTGCTCCTTGCTGGACAGGGAGGGTTAAGGTTGGAAAAGGAAAAGGGAAGGGAGAACCAGGTAACAATCCCGTAAGCAGGGTACCATGCGACTCATCACAGCAGAGGCGAAAGGCTGTCACTGGGGTCATCTGATTCCAAATTGACCTGTTTCTAATGGCTTCCATGTTTCCTTTCTTTTCCAGCACAGCACCTGGCTCAGCCCTGGACCCCTACTCACCCTGCAATAATAACTGTGAATGCCAAACCGATTCCTTCACTCCAGTGTGTGGGGCAGATGGCATCACCTACCTGTCTGCCTGCTTTGCTGGCTGCAACAGCACGGTAATGGGATGGGGCAGGGGATGGGGTAGGGGATTCAGGCAGCCAAAGTGGCTTAAAACGCAAGTTTTTGCACAGGTGGTTCCCCTTCCCTGTGACTTTTTCTTAGCTGTTGCCCTGCTGTAGTGGAAGATGTTCCATCAGCAGGATGGGAGGACTGATTCAGGTCTTCTTGCTAAATCAAGTTTGTTTGTAGGAAGTTTCTTTGTGCAACTGGAAGTAAAAATTCAAAGGAAGCTGTATATATGGAACCAAAGGAAAATATGGTGGTTCAAGATGCTTGCAGAGTGTCAGTGGAATAGGATGTCTGCATGGGTAGTGAGCTCCCCATCACCAGAAGTATGTCAAGAGAGGCTTAAAAACCATTTATCAGGAAAGACTTCTTCCAGACCTGAAACACTCTGACACCAATTCAGCCTCTTTCCTACCCAGTTCACTTTGCCATTTTCCTCCTGACTAAATGCCTCCCACCTCTTTCCATGTTCCTGACACATTTCTGGGAGGGAGGTGGAGTGCTTTTTCCTGCTTAGCATGGATTTTACAATTGGCTGTCAGCCCACAGCTTTCCATGTTCTCTCCCTGAAAACCTGATGCTAAGTGACAAGTCATATAGTGGTGCTGATCCCACCTTCCAGGAGTCCTTGGCACCTGCCCTGCTGCACCCACACCACCACTGCCCTATGCAGGCCCTCCCCATCTCTTGCTTGGACCTGTGCAGTAGTTCCTACCTGGCCTCCCAGGATAGCCCCTTATGTCCTGCGTTTTGTTCAACACTGCAGTCAGAAGAGTTTCTGTAACATAGCAAATGACCCTCTCGTGCTACTCTGTCAACTAGAAGATCAGTTCTAGGTGCCACGTGTCTTCAGCTCTATCTCCTTTCAGTTTGTGGTGTTCAGCTTCCCCCATACAGCCTGTCTTTTCATACACCTCCCTCCAGTTGGACAGGTCCTACTCACCAGTCAATAGCCTCCTCCAATATCCCCTCCTCTGAAACCATCCCTTCCCTCTTTTATCTTTGGGGTTCTTCTCTCTGAAGTCCTTTGGTACCTCTTTCTCCTAAAGACACTGTTCTCATTTTATTACGGTGATTTGCTAGAAGTGTCTGTCGTCTGCTCTGGTCTTTGGATTTCTTAAGCAAGGGCCAGCACCCAGAAGCACTCCATGAATGTCTGTGCAAGGCATAGTGGGAAGGAAAATATGAACCCCCAGTGGCAGCTTTCAAGGGACTTAGAGTTGAGATCATTAGCTGCTGCTTCTCCCTACATCTTATATCTTTCAGGAGTAGCAGTTTCTCTGAAAGAAGAAAAATGGATCATTTATTTTCATTTTCAAAGATTTCATTTTCCCTTGTGTTTAACATTTAGATCCCTGGCCAGTTATTAACATTTTCTATAGAGAAAATAAATCACCATGGGGGGATGGGTGGGAGAAACTGATTTTTTAAAATTAGATGATAAAGCAATTTCTTTATGTGAATGGAAATAAAGTTTAAAAGAAGGGATGGGCCTTGAGAATGGTTCAAATAAAAATACAAGCCATTATTTTTCATGACAACAATTTCATTAACATTTTAATATTCAGAAAGTTACATTATAAATCAGTCTCGGTTATTGTCCTGTTATAAGAATTAAATTGACTCAATATAGGCTAGTGACCTGAGACCAAACGAGTCTCTATTCCAGGGAATGCACTGACCAAAAAAATTACCTTAAAAATTGCATTTCCCCTGATCTTGCATGTACAGGAGTCTTATTGAATAAGAGCCTTACCAGGCCCATCTATGGCTACATCCCGCTGCTGAAACAGCAAAGCTGGAGAACGCAATTATCAGACTGCAAGCTGCTCTGCTTACCTCTGGACCTACTGTTTATTCCCCCAGACACCTGCCTTTTATTCATGTTACTCAAGGCCTCACATTGTCTGCTGGGGTGTAGGTGAGGCAAGGACAGTATTCCCATGCAATTGCAATGCAGAGGTGGAGAAACCACCAGGCCCCAGAACTGGGATGGGGCATACTAATGCCTTCCCTGCAGAGGCAGATCTCTAGATGCCCTGGCTTCCAACAAGTGGATGAGGGATTTGGAGGCCCAGAGCAATGCTTATCCTGGAAAGGGGCCCTTTTGACAGTCTAGCCTTAAAAACAACCACAGCCATAAAACTTGCAGCAGCAGCAGCAAGGTTTGTCAAGAGCCTATTGAGGTCCAGGTAATGGGGCCTTCCGTGTGTCACTCGTGGCCCATGGCAGCTTGGCCCAGAGTCAGAGAAATCTCAGGCCAACATCCATAAATGAGTGAAAAGCAATTTAAATCCTTTAAATCTCTGCTGCAGCATTTTGAGAAAATGCCAAATGGTGGCTATATTCCTGGTACATGTACTCCCTCCCTCTCCTCCTTTTTTCTCCACTCTTCTTGTCTCCAAGCTCAGGAGAAAAAAAAAAAAAAAAAAAACTCTCTGACAAGCTAAAACCTTTTACCTCCTTCTCCTTTTCACAGTGGCCCCCTGGAATTCTCCACCTTCCCCAATGTGAATTCAGCCATTCTTCCTGGTTTCATCAATTCTTCCACCCATGGCCTCAACCCTGTGTATATTATCTCATTGATCCTCCCAGCAACCTTGGGAAATAGATGTTCTTTTTATTTCCTGAATACCGATGAGGTAGTCACTTGGCCAAGGCCATGCAGTAGGAAGTGGGGGATCCGACTTTTGAATGTAGGATCTGTCCAATGTCAAGTACACATGGACACCAAGAAAGGAAAAATAGTGTCTTCCTCTGCACCTCCCCTAAGATGTCCACCTTTTTTCTACCTCTTCAAACATGGACTTCTCATTTGAGACATTTATTTGGCCTTTACTCTCTGGCCCTGGCTGCCTCTCCAGCCTCAACCTCCCTATTCCTCCCACCTTTTTTTTTTTTTTTTTTTTTTTTTCAAGACAGGGTCTCGCTCTATCACCCAGGCTGGAGTGCAATGGCACAACCTCGGCTCACTACAACCTCTGCCTCCCGGGTTCAAGTGATTCTCCTGCCTCAGCCTCCCAAGTAGCTGGGATTATAGGCACACACCACCACACCAGGCTAATTTTTTACATTTTTGTTGGAGACAGGGTTTTTCACCATGTTGACCAGGCTGGTCTTGAACTCCTGACCTCAAGTGATTCCACCTGTCTCAGCTTCCCAAAGTGCTGGAATTACAGGCCCTCTCGCCTCTTAAAGAGCCACTTGGTAAGTGGAACTTCTTGGAGTTCTCGCTGCCCCTGGGCCCTTGCACATGCTGTTTCTCTTATCTGCAGTAGTCTCTCCCTTCGAAGCTGTCTTATCTGTCAGGGCTGTCTCTCCTTCCCCACTGCTGAGAAGCCTTCTCCACCTCATTGCTTCCTCCAGGGCTGTGTTAGTGCCCTTCCTGCAAACCACTATTGCCTCTGCTCATGCCTAGCAAGGCTCTCACCTCGCCTGTTCTAATGGCTCATTTACTCATTAAGCTGCAGGGATAGGGGCTCTGTTGTGGACCCTTGCATTCTCACCGTCAGCCATGGCTCTGGATAAAGGGCCCAGGCTTTCTCAACACCCAGCTGGTGGCCCCGTACTGACCTCCGAGAGCCCCAGGGATCCAGGGGTAATACCACTGTCTTGTTTAGCAGTTGGCAGGTGGGTAGGTCAGAAGGTGCCAGTTTCAATACTAAAAACCTGATCCTTGCTCACCACTTACCACTTTATGGTTTCCATCAAGACGTGAAAATTCCCGTAACTCAATTAGATGTAAATAAGTCACTGACCAAATAATTCTGATTATAGGGAAATCTGATTCGTGTTAGCAGTTTCCTGATAGTAAGCTTTTCTTCCTGCTCTGGATTGGATTTTTTTTTTTTATTTTCTTATATCTCCTTGAGTGATAGCAGTGGAAGTTTCCAGGCCTGCATTTAATGTGCAACTTCTAATCCTTCTCACTGCATATAACCAGGAAGGGTGACCAAAAAAAATTGTGAGTTAATTCTGTAAGTTTCCTTTGGCGTGAATGTATTGTCCAGATGGTTTCTGTACCTTTCACTTTCAGAAGTCATTATTCCAACAGAAGCATGTTAGTATGCTGCGGACTGATTGCTGGAAGTTGTATCCTTTTGATGTACTGAATAATTGACTAGGGAAAAAAAAACTTCCATCAGCCACCACTAGAATGTTGAAAGTCAGTATGAGTCCAGCACTGCAGTTTGTAGGGTACTAATGATAGATGACTAATTTATCCCCCCCTATTCCAGGCAACTAATATTTATTGAGCACCTGTTTCAGCGAAATGCCAAGTAGGTTCTGTGGCAGGGAGGAGGACAGCTCCATTATGGACGCAGGCAGGCAGCTCATGGTTCAGTGTGATAGGTCTCGATATAGGCTGCACATTAGGACCACGTGGGAGCTTTTAAAACATAAGGCCTGAGCCCCACTCTCAGCCCCATACGTTTCACCTTTCCGTGATCTCCCCACCGTGTCCTATGTTAGATAGCTGGAGCAGAGTGATTCTGATTCCCTTATTTTGGAGTAAGACCCGTGTATCAGTATTTTTTTAAAGCTCCTCAAGTGTTTTTGATATGTAACCAGGATGGAGAACCGCTGTTCTAATACAGGGCCTCTCAGTCACGGCACGATTGACATTTTGGGCCAGATAATGGATTGTCATGAGGCGCTGTCCTATGCACTGTGTGTTTAGCAGCATCCCTGGGCTCTCCCCACCAGATGCCACCCCTGCCCTCCCCACCACAAGTTCCGACAACTGTAAATGTCTCCAGACATTGCCAAATGTCCCTTGGGGGATATCATCGCCCCCAATTAAGAACCAGTGCTGTCATAGAAGGGATGAGGCATGTTCTATAAATTGTATCTTTCTTGAAAAAGGTCAGCATCTAAGCTGACACTGAGTATTCATCCTTCAGTCTTTTTCTTCTCACCATGACCATATTTGCCCACTATAAAAACCAACTGGAGAGTTAGATGTGCCATATAGCAGGGGTCCCCCACC